CATTTTCTTTTTTCATATGCTAACCCAAGAGTACATGATCTTGCTCTGAATTTTAGCTGTGCTCCTTTAAAGTGGTCCTTTTATTTATTGACTGAAGATATTTCTCACTTTTCAAGCTAGTTTTGAATTTTATATAATAATTCAGGCTTGATTTTAACTTCATATCTTCTCTCCACTTGGATTCATCATGGTTCAGAACCAATGTTTTTAGTTTTTTATCAGTTAAGTTTGTAAACTGTTTTTTGTTTATTTTGACATATTTTATTATTAGTATATCATCTGTATATCTTAGCCAGTTCCAAAATATGTAACCTCTATGTTATTCAGTTTCTTTGTTTAGCTCATTTAATTTGGTAATAGTAACTTTTGTCCACCTAGATTCTTTCATTTTATTCAGTCTCCTATAATATTTTAACCTCATTATATCTAATCTACCTTTCATTGTATTCAACCCAAGATCACCAAGAACAGCTTCATTTGCAGTGTTTCACTGACTTTTCAGTATAAATTATCCAACTGTTCTTTGCAGTTTTTCCAAACTCTCCATATCAGATAAACTAGACGTTACTATTTCACCAGCATATTCTAATGAAGGGCGTATTACATTATTCCATAGTGACAACCCATAATCTACCCTATTAATGTTTCCATGATTTCCAACGGTTGCTTTCATTACTGGGAATAGTTTGTTGAATTTTTCACTTAGTTTTACACAGTGAGTATGGTCAGACAGGTTTCTGGTGAACCAGTAGCCTAAATATTTGTATTTTCAGATCCCTTGATGAATGAGAGTGAAATGGTAGACATTTTGGTAATATTCTTCAGTATTTGATCTTCACATCTTGATATCTTTTAATCTGATTTTGCCCTAATTTAGTAGATGACCAGAATAACTAAGTAATCCATTGGTAATGACTAGCATTTGCCATTAGTGGTCATTCATTCTGTTTTAATAACTTTATTACACTACCGAACCATCAGCAGGTTCAGTATGGTAAGTAAAAAGTATTACAAGACTACTACATGTAGTAAGACAATTCTAAATGCAATACAATAATAAGAATAAAATAAAGACTGGGTTTTAAAAAAGAAATGTTAAAAAATTACTAGAATGAATACAATTAAAAATAAAAACTGATTTCAATAAAGTACTAGTAATTTAGTCCCACCAACCCACGCCCATTGGTGATGTGATTTCACGGTTCCATTTTTTTGGTGGAATATTTATTCCATATTATTTGAAAAACAAGCTTTCTAAAAATATATAACTTGATGGGATTCAAAGAATATGTTACTTCAGAAATAGGCTATGCAATTGTAATAGCAATAACCTCTACTACATCTTTAATGTGGTTGTGATAAAATTAACTTAGAGGAAGGGAAGTCCATTGGGAGAAAAATATAAAATAAAATAAAAAACTACCTACCTATCCAATATCCTGTTTTATTCAGCTAACTTTTGGGAATGCTGTATGGTGTAACTAAACCTCATCATGTGTTTATTCTTATTTATTTATTTCAGTCATCAAAAAACAATCATTTGATAGTCGCAACTGCCCATACTTGGACACAATTAACAGGTTAGTACTGTCTCATAACAACAAACCTATTCTTTTGATTTTTATATTAAATATTTATATATCTCAATGACAGTTGATTCCAACCAGGCAATTAATGGAACCTGTGAGAAATGACCATCATTTGAAATTTTCCATCTATCAGCCAAAAGTTAACCACATTTCAGTTTGAATTGTGAAATTTATATAAATATTTATAAACACCAAGGGGTGTCAATTTAAATATGTGTATCAGTTTAATGTGTTTAGTCCATTAGTATCTCAAATGTACACATGCTTACATGCTTAATGAACACAAGTCACGTTTGAACAAAGGAGTCAACAGTGAATAATAAGTAAATTAGGAGCTCTGTCACGCAGTGCTGTCTCTCAGACGGCCGATATAAATAATGTTCAGTGGAATCATTCTCATAGTCAGAGCTACGTCACGATCCCCCAAACAGGAAAAGACCATGAATTTTCAGATTAACACCTCTGTTTTCCCCCAAGCTAATCAAATTTCCCCCAAGCTAACGAAAAAATCTTTTGTCTTCTACTGACTTCCTGTTCCGGTCCATCTGTGAGAATTGCACATCACATATGTTACCTGATTTAGCCCATATGAAAAGACAACTGTTGGGGGTGGCTGAACTGTCTTCTTCTTTGAAGAATATGTACGTTACAATGTGGGATTTTTGAATATTGACTAATTTTAATATTTCATGTTTCAGAAATGTGCTGGATTTTGATTTTGAAAAGTTGTGTTCAGTGTGTCTGTCTCATATCAATGTCTATGCATGTTTAATATGTGGCAAATACTTCCAAGGTATGTATTATTAATTGCTCTTGCTGAAATATTTTTGTAACAAGGTTGTATATTGGCCTCAGTAAAATACTGTAGAATACTTTATTTTCGCTTGGAATTTATTTTCGCTATTTTCGCTGAAGGGATGATTCCGTGAAAATAAAATCCAGCGAATATACTTTCTTTCCTATATTTCACATTAAACTCATGAAAAATCAGTGAAAATAAATTCCAAGCAAAACGCCCAAAAAGCCTTTTCAGCAAAAATTAATTCCAGCGAAAATAAAGTATTCTACAGTAGATTAATCAAATTGGGTATGCCACATCACGTGACAACAGACAAAAAACAAAATTGTGAAATGCACTTTAAAATTCTCCCTGAAAACTGAAAAAAATCTGCCATCATATTGCGGCCAAATGAGTGGAAAGCAAAGATGCTTGAAATTATATTTACATTGTACTCCATCATTTTGAATAACTTACTAGCAATTTACAGTGATTTACATTGAGATACAAGATATAAAAATAAATGTTATTTCTTTCTGCAGGAAGAGGTCTGAAGTCGCATGCCTATACACACAGTGTTGAGGTTGATCATCATGTTTATCTTAATCTGCACACTCTGAAATTCTATTGTCTCCCAGACAACTACGAGGTTATTGACTCTTCGCTGGATGATATAAAGGTAAACATTATCGGGTGCATAGAACTAGAACTGGGTATGTGCTTACTAGTTGAGTATGGCGCTAAGGCGTTTGAGTCTGTTAACTCCTAATTTAAAGGACCCTGAGAGGTGTGCGTCCAGTATCTCAGACATTCCTGAACTAATCACATTCAAACTTCACACATAATACATGTATTATGCATCTTGAAATACATATATGCATATCAATTTGGTTGCCATCGAATGTTTGTCATTTTTTGTGCTGAAAATTCATCAATCATTTCTCCCATTCTGGATCTCTTTTGTTCTGATTCAATATGGCTGACTTATTTTAGTTTTATTTACCATTAAGCAATGGGGACTGTGTCGTATCGTAAATTAGATTTGTACTTGCAGAATTATAAGAGTTAGGGTACTTAACATACAATCCACACATACAATTAATGCTACTTTTTCTCTCACAGTATGTATTGAAACCAACATTCACACGATTACAAATTTACCATATGGACAAGACTTCCAAACTATCCCGTGCTTATGATGGTAGTACGTATTTACCAGGAGTCGTTGGTCTGAATAATATCAAAAAGAATGATTACTGTAATGTGATTCTTCATGTAAGTACTCATATCTGTCTTCTGAATATTGTATGCTTTTGCACATGTTCCTTCTTGAAGGAATTACTTCATTTTCATTTATTGTTGTTGTAGACTTCTACTCCTGTTACTTTTTTCTGGAATTACTTCTTTCATTTATTGTTGTTACAGGCTTTTGCACATGTTCCTCCTTTGAGAAATTACTTTCTGAGAGAGGAAAACTATGCACATATAAAGCGACCACCTGGTGATATCATGATTCTTCTGTCCCAGAGATTCGGTGAATTGATGCGAAAAATGTGGAATCCTCGTAATTTCAAAGCGCATGTCAGTCCCCATGAAATGCTTCAAGCGGTCGTGCTTTGTAGTAAAAAGAAATATCAGATCACTAGCCAAGGTAAGAATAGACCATTTTTAGTCCCTGTTTCAGGCGCAGCCTGAAAGGCGGACTATTAATTCCTATTTCCAGTTTCCATCTGTGACGTCTCTAACATTTTTTCAGAAATTTTGCAGCAGATATCGATGAAACTTGGCAGATTGATAAACAAGTCTATGCCGAATATGCACGTAATTTTTTTTTACAGATCTGAAAATCCCTAAGTGGGTCTTTTCCATAATTTTCATCCAAAACTACCTCTCCCAACACCACTGACAGAACAACTGAGCATGCTCAGAATACAATTTAGCTTAGATTGTAATGCTAGGTTTTTTAGTGATGTCATGACCTGGTCATGACGTTGATCTGAATCAGTGACAGATGGGTCGTACCATTACCAATCTCAGTGAAAAGGGCTACATTTTGATGGGAATTATAGTGAATTATTACACTGAAACAAACCCAGGTCCTGGTAATATACAAAGACCTAAGCAAAGAATTAACAAAGAAGTCAAGTTGTTATAAAAGGTACATCAAGCTTTACTCAGATTTATGAATGCAGTTTCTTGAGTTTCTTGGTTGCACTTGTTTACTCTGAGATTTTGGACCCGGGTCAATGAAAGTTTTCAGTTATCAGATTAAGGGAAATCACTTTATGATGAGTTGTACCCACATAGAGTACATATTAATTCAATTGTTTGCAGATGTTCCATGTATTATTTTAACATGAGTATTTTATAATTAGATAACAGGGACTGTTACATTCATGTCTTGTTGATTCTGTGTTGTGTGTAAAATGAAATGTAAAACTGAACAAACAAAGGTCATAGCATTGTAGTGACGTACTGTGGAATTCAACAAGCACGAAAGTATTTTTTTGATATTTCAATGCCTAATAAT